TCCGGGTGGAGCTGGACGAGGGCTCAGGTACGGCTGGTGGCACCTCTGCCAGCGTTGCCCTCACCCTGGGGCGCGTTGCGGGGCATGGCCGTGGACATCTAAATCCCCAGGCCCTCTTCTGCACCTGCCCTGACGTTAGGCGGAGGCGTCCTGCAGCACGTGTGCCCAGCTTAGTTTTCATGGCACGCGTGGCCCTGGGCATGGAAAGCCTCCAAAGCCCCAAATGTTCCAGCTGCAGCTGCTTAGGACCATCGGAGAGAAGTGTTTGGGGACAGGGATCTCACCAGCTGTGGGACATCTAAATCCCCAGGCCCTCTTCTGCACCTGCCCTGACGTTAGGCGGAGGCGTCCTGCAGCACGTGTGCCCAGCTTAGTTTTCATGGCACGCGTGGCCCTGGGCATGGAAAGCCTCCAAAGCCCCAAATGTTCCAGCTGCAGCTGCTTAGGACCATCGGAGAGAAGTGTTTGGGGACAGGGATCTCACCAGCTGTGGGCATTTGACGTGGCTGGGTGCCACCTGCGTGCCAAGTGCAAACACCGGCTGACGCAGCAAGGCTTGTCACCGCCACCTTGGCTTGTCCCCCACTGGTGGACCTCACGTCTCCCTCTCCTGCCCCTGCATTGCCTCCCAGCAGGGTCCCTGCCCTGAGGACCTGGCAGAGTGGCAGGCACTCCTTCGGTGAGCAGCTGTTGGGGATTTCGGTGTCCTGGCTGCCAGGAATAGCTGTCACCCAAACATTGCCCAGGGGCCTGCTTTTGGCTGCTGGGTCCCCGGGCCCGTCCTCGCACTGTCCCCAGCCTGGGTGGACAGTCCCCAGCCTGTAGTGGCAGCAGCACAGACTACGAGCACTCGGCTCAGGGGCTTCTGAGGGCCACTTGGAGTAGGGCAGTGCTGTTCGGGAGGGGATAAGGGGACAGAGCCCTCCCCACATGTCATGTCCAGCTGGGCAGGGCGCAGGCTCTCAAAGGCAGACTGTTATTCCCCAGGCACGGCTACAGGCTGTTTGCAGTGAGAGTAGCTGCAGTCTTGGCCTTGTCTAGCTAGTCCAGGGAGGCAGGGACCTCTGGGCCTTGGCACCCCGAAGGTGGCTGGGTTTCGGGACTCCCAGCATGGCCACCACGCTGTGCACAATGGGCGAGCCGTGGCTTGCAGGCAGATCTGCTTAAAGGCAGCATCCTGCTTTTGATCCGGCACTGGGGGCTCTTAGGAGAACAGCCAAATTACTAGGACTAAAAAGATACAGTCTGGGTTGAGCGGCGAAGCAGGAAGGCAGATGAAATTCTCTTGGGTAAGACGTGTGTACGCGCGGTGCATGCCGCGGTGGCGAGGGGTTTCTGATGCCTCCATGTTTGCCATGGCGCAGGCATAGCCACGATGAAGTTTAAGAGCCCTCCCGTCAACAGCCTCAGCCTGGACTTCCTCACTGAGTTTTGCATAAGCCTGGAGAAGCTGGAGAACGACCGGGGTTGCCGGGGCGTGATCTTCACATCTGTACGTGTTGCCCTGGGGTCGCGGTGCGAGCTGCAGGGTGGCTTGGCAGGCGCGGGTGCTGTTGCCTTGCTCGTGCTCGGTCTCCTGGATCTCTGGTCAGAGGCACAGGAAAGCCAGGACACAGCTCTAGTGGGCTCCAGAAACAGGGCCGAGGAGGCTTGCAAGGGCCGTGCTCTTTCCTCCGTGGCCTTTTCTAGCGTAAGAACTACAACAAAGCGCTGTCATTGCTCATTAAAATCAAATCTGTCCGTCTACAAACTTGGCAAATCCCCTGAGATCTTTTGAACTGCCCAAAGCGGGGGGGCTAGGGGAAGCCAGCATTCGTTTCCAGGCATGATGTGCGTACGAGGCTGTGCCGGGGATGGGACAGGGCAGGTTTTGTGCTGCATAACAGAGGTACCCCCAGACGGGCTCTGATGATGACGTCCACGTTCAGAGCCCCGGCCCTGTGGGCCGCAGCATTGCCGTGATCCAGTCCGTGGGAATGCTGAGGAGATTGTTTCAGTACCCCAGAAGACCCTGATTTACCTCAGCTTTCTCTTTCCTAGGGGTTCCAGGCCAAGTGCTCGGAGGGTTGAAGGGTCATCGTTGAGCTGTGACTCCCAGTGATGTTTGTATTTTCCTAATTCCAGGCCATTCCCAAAATCTTCTCGTCTGGCCTGGACATCACCGAGATGTGTGGGAAGAGCACGGAGCACTATGGGGAGTTCTGGAGAGCTGTGCAGGAGACGTGGCTCAGGCTCTACGGCTCCAGCATGGTGACAGTCGCCGCAATCAATGCAAGTCCTGTAGAGCTGCCTTCCCAGCTGCCCTGCGCGGTCTGTCACTTGCTGTGGCTTGTGTGCACTGTGTGGGCAGGGACAGCCGAAAAATCAGGCTGGTCGGTGCTGAAAGAACCCGTTGGGATGTCAGGGCGGCATACGTGGCTGTAGGGTTGGTGCGCTGACATGTGGGAGCGTGTGGGATGTTGCAGCCTCTGCGTAAGCTATACGCCTGGCACGGGTGTCCTAACAGCACCTTAGCTGCAGCGGAGGACTCACCCAGCACTCACGTCCCACCAGCAGGGGCTCGTTCTGCTCAGACTTGAGTGGTGCTTAGTGCAGCGAGGGCCATAGCCTGCCCCAAGAACTCAGCTGGAAATCTGTCCTCCAGGCTGGAGGACAGGGAGGAGGGTTGTAGGCCAGTGTTAAAGCCCAGGGAGGTGTCGAAGGCAAACGGAGTACTGGAGAAGCTGAGCAGTTAGGAGAGAGGGAGTCCAAAGGACGCTTGTCATTTGCCCACCTTCTGCTTCCTCACTGATAAGTATGGTAGGAGCTGCCCAGCATCGCTTGGCTGATGCATCGCCTTGGTAGCCAGCCGGAGGGGAGGAGATCAGATGGGGGCCGTGCAGTGTCGCAAATGCTTATCCTCAACCCTTTGGGCAGCGCTGCTTCAGACCTGGGCAGTGCAATAAGCCTTCAGTGCTTTATTCCCTGGGTTTTGTTACTCTGACTGTGGTTTTTGCCAGCAGGGAACCATCTGAATGCCATTTGAATCACAGGGTCTGTAGATTTGTACCTGTTACCTGCTAGGGGTCATGTTTGAGTTTTTCAATGTAGTACCGCTTTGGCAGCGCGTGGTTCTGTGTCTGTCAGCAGACCCTCTTTGAAGTGGGTATCACAAGGCAGCTGGGTCTCTGACCACCCTCCTGTGGCCATATGGTGCAGGGCTAAGGAAGCACCGAGTCATGGCAAAGATGCTCTCAAACGGAAGTTTTACAGATGGGAGCTGTTACAGAGCCCCTGAACAAAACTATTTTTGTGGCGTTTAGGATTACCAACTCATAAGAGAATGCTTTAACAAATCTCCACTGCAGGGTTTGTAGCCCATCTAACACTTTCTCTATTGGAGTCTAAGAACTAAAGAGTAAAACTCAGTGGGAACAAATTGAGTAGTCAGATTTTCAGGCTGGGAAAATGCTAGAAACAGAGTTAAGAAATGAAAGGACAAACTCTGGTAAGGATATCAGAAGTCGTCTTTAGTGGCTGGTTTTGGACCGTTTCTTTCAAATCAGCTGAGCAGGGACTTGGGGGACATCAGCACTGTCCCTGACAGCTCCATCTCCCTGTATCTTCCCTGTTGTGGAAGAAACAGCAAGGCTACTGGGGGTAGGAGGCCAGGAACATTTGTAGCCAGAAAATGGGGACTGACCTGGACTCACTCTTTCCTTCCCTGTGCCAGGGATCCAGCCCAGCGGGAGGCTGTCTCCTTGCCTTGTCGTGTGACTACAGAATCATGGCTGAGAACCCCAAATTCAGCATCGGCCTGAACGAAGCACAGCTGGGCATTGTGGCTCCCTTCTGGTAGGCCAGTGTCTTTCACTTCTAAGCTCATGTGCTGAGTTCATCTTCAGGGGGTCTATTAATAAGCTTTAATTGGTCACGGAGATGTAGTTGCATGTGACCGTCCCAAGGGAGTGATCAGATAGTCACGGTTACAGGATACAGCCAGCTCAGCATCTGATTTGTCTGTCTTGTCCTGTAAATATCCAAAACCCTTTCAGGTTGCAGAATGTTCTCACATCTTGTTTTGCATCCTTCACCAGCAAGGACCTCAGTTTCTGACTGCAATCTGCTCAGAAGCTAATGCCAGGAGATTGCCATGGTTGAGCTTGGTCTGGGAATATACTTTTCTGTGGGTACAGCCTATGTACCTGCAAAATCCCGTAGCTGTAGAGAAAACCTTTCAAAGCATAGCAACAGTTAGTATACGGAGATACAGACCCCTTGACCTTGGCTGCCCTAAGGGCATGTAAATATGCTGTTGGGGAGTAGCTTTCACTTGATGCCAAGTGGGCACAGCTGGGACCTGTGCGGTCAGAAGAAATAGAATAGCTCTCACGCAAAGGGCAGGGGACTCTGTTAGGGTAACACTAAAAATGGCTCCACTTGCCAGATTTTGCAAAAAGTGCGTTGCTGGCTTTGCCTTGCTGAGCTCATAGCTGCGATTTGGAGACCCATGCCTGGGGAGTGTGACCAGGGCACCAAAGCAGAGGTTCTGTGGTGAGCAGTGCCCTTAGCTTTGATGTCTGGGTTCAGCTCTTGCTGGGTGTTTCTTTGCCTGACTGTGGCTCTTCCTCCTCTCTCGTTTAGGTTTAAAGACACATTTGTGAACGTTGTGGGACACCGAGTCGCTGAACGCTCCCTCCAGCTGGGCTGCCTTCACTCTGCACCTGAAGCCCACAGGATTGGCCTTGTGGACGAGCTGGTGCCAGAGGAGAAGCTACGGGACAAGGCTGCGGCTGTTGTAGCACAGTGGCTGGCTCTTCCCGGTAAGACAGGCACCTCCTCCGGCAGACTGCTGCTGCTTTTGGGCAGTGATCAGCACGGAAGGAGGGATCTAATCAATCTATGTGGGGAGGACAGATACTGAGGCTGCTGCCTGGGAGCTATGTAGCAGTTGCCATTTAAATTGAACGTGTCAATGGCTGGGAGGTAGGAAAGCTCAGAAAAGCAGTCCAAGCAGCCTCAGGCTAACAGAGATGTGCTCACCAATGGACCTGGGCGGGAGGACAGGGTGTGCTGGGTGTGCAAGTTGCTCGGCTGCAGTCCAGCTCACTCTGCCAGCTCTGCTGAGTCGAACTGGAGGTGCACGAATTCAAGGTGAAAACCTTGCCTGGATCTCTGTATCTGTTGGTGGGGATGTAAGGAGCAAGGACGAAAATTGTCGTGGAGCTGAGGGAACGGAACTGTGTCCTCTGGGAGCAGGCAGGGCGTGAGTGCCCAGGCAGCTGGTCACCCTGTGTTTCCAGAGGAATGGTTTGGTCAGCTCTTGGCTCTGTGCTGCCACTGAGCTGAGGAAGGGGATGAGGCGTTAGGACAGACAGCAAATGCAAACATCAGATGCTTGTTTGGACTGCTCCATGATGAGAAGCACATGTTTCCTGGGGTAAGGAGAGGGCTCTCCTCTCCACACAGCACAGCTGGATCTGAATTATCCCATCCCATGCCACGTCCTAACCTGTGCAGTGAGGTGCAACTACACGTCAGTCTTTGGCTGTTCCTTCCCTAGAAATCGGAATGAAACAGAAATGCAGACAGAAACGGACAGGTCCCAGGACTGTTCATTAGTGTCCCTACCTGGAAGAGTGTCCCTAAACCTCACTCTGGCTCTCCTGCCCTGGCATAAGAGTGGAGACAGTTGATCCTTGGTCCCTGACAAGGGGGCACGTCTCCGTTCTACCTTCTCCTGGCTTGCGGGAGGCACCATGCAGATCCTTCCACAGAGCCCTAAGCCAGAGCCAGCGAGAGCCTGTCCAGGTGGATCTATCTAGAGCACAGAGGTGCTGCGCAGAGGAAGCGATTCTGGGTTCACAGTGTGTGGGGGTGGGTCATTATCTTACCTTCACTGTTGCAACGCACTGGCAGCACAACATCAGTGCAAAAAATGTGTGGCTGCACCAGTGTGCATTGCTCTGTGCGTGAACAGATGTGCGCTCCAGGCCTCCACCAGCTAAGGCAGCCAGTGCTGCTCTATCAGCATCCACGTATCTGTGCTGAATTACACTGGCTAGGAGCGTGCATCGCAATCACAGCCCGGAAACTGCTGTTGGGATGAACTTGAGGCCACAATGCAGCTGGCTTTTGTACAAGATGTTTGACACAAGTAGACTGTCTTGCCAGAAATCAGAAGGGTTGGGTTGGGGCCAGAACAATTTCGGAGAATTTTATTCAGTTACTGCTGTCCTGAGCCTGGTAACGTGTGTTTGGGTGTGTTTTGGAGGACACAAAGAGTTGGGGAGTGCTCAACTCTTTCTGTAATTTGTCCCACTAGAGCAGTCATTTCCCCATTGACAGATACAGATCGCAATTTATTGTATTAGAATTTATCCAGTTCAGCTTCCAGGCAGTGGGTTTGGTCTTATGCCTTTCCCTGCTGGTGTAAAGAGCCCTTCAGTGTGCAGTACCTCTGCTTCTGTGGTGCTTGCACATGGTGACAGGGGCCAAGAGCTGGTCACTAACGGTGGGGCCATGCATGTTCCCTCTCCTCACTCTCCTTTCCACAGACCATGCCCGTCAGCTCACCAAGTCCATGATGAGGAAGTCGGTGCTGGACCGCCTGGTAGCTCACCGGGAGGAAGACATTCAGAACTTCATCAGCTTCATTACGAAAGAGTCCATCCAGAAGTCGCTTCGCATGTATATGGAGATGCTGAAGAAGAAGAAGAGCTGAGGAGCCAGCCAGCTGAGGCCTGGTCCCAGGAGCTTGCGTGACACTGAAATGCTGCAGTAGCTGTAGACTTTTACAGTGAAGTCCTCTGTACTGCCAGCAATCGGCGATGTGCTGCCTGCTCCAGTGGCTGCCCCACCACCCCTTCTTGTTCATCCCCATTCAGTGCCTGACACCGCTGCTGCCTTTCCTGAGAGCGGGGAGAGCTGTTTTGCTCAGCTCACCCGAGGAACAGAAAGGGAGAGCATCTGACACCACTGTGGCCTAAGCCCGCAGGTCTTTGGATAGCCTCCCTCCTTTCTAACGCTAAATTGTGAAAATGAGATTTGTCAATAAAGCCCTTTTTTGAGGAGGCGGGAGATGGCTGCTTGGTTTCCGAGTCTGTCTCCAGTCACCACTTCCTGGCAGCAGGGTGGCTGGCTGATGTTGGCCTGTCCCCCAGGCTCCAGCTCCTGACGGGTTGAGAGGGCTCTGCCGTGAGCAATGCGGGCCTCGGGGCCTCGGTGCGGCTGGTGTCGTGCTGTGACCCTTCTCCAGGCCAGCCTAGGGGCAGCCTACATGCAGGGCTTGTGGATGGGGCTGCGGAGGGCCCCTTCATGGAGACCGGTCCTGGGAGCTGGAGCTGCATCATAGTCTGTGGCAGTGGGAGGAGCTCAAGCCGCCAGCTTCACTTCAACTGGGAAATGGTCACTGACTGCCAGGGCCTGGAGGAGGACAAGAGGTGGGGAGGTGTGTCGTGAGGGTTCATCAAACCCTGGCTACTGGTGGTGCAGGCAGGGCCCTCCATGCAAGACCCTTCTGCCTGCCTGAGAGGGACACGATGTCCCCAACCCCAGGGAAGTCAACACACAAGGCTCCAGTTTTGGCTCCTCTCACAGAAAGATGCCCAGAAGTGGTCTACACTGCACATAGGTGCTGGCAGCATGGTGCCTGCCCTGCAAGACCTGGGCTGTCTCAGGAGCTCTGTGCTAAGTTGCTTTAGAGGTGATTGAAAATCCTCAATTGCCCTAAGCCATGGAGTCCTGTCCCTAACGTGCCTGCTCCTACCCATGAAGGGCCATGAAAAGCCCCTGCCCCAAGGCTCCTGGCCTGCATGCAGAGTTTCCTTGCAGAGATAGGTAATAATCCAAAATCACCCCTCATTTTCCCACCTGTGGGTCCTTCAGCACCCAGAGCTCCAAGTTAACTGATTGGGGGCTGACTGCCACGTTTCAGGAGAGGAGGGTGCCTTACGTGAGGGGCCATGGGAGTCTCTGGTGGCTTCTTGGGAGCTTGGCGCTGCGCAGAGGCAGACATGCCACAGAGGGAGGCAGGACGCCCTGAGGTGCGTGGTGCTGGAGCTGCTTGAACTTTGGAGCTGTTGTTGAAATGCAGCTGCTACGGGGCTGTGGCCTGGGGCCCTGTCTAATCCTTAACGAATGCTGGCAACCAGCATGGTCTGGACAGCTTGGCTGCACCTGGGGTTGCCCAGGGCCATCTTGGCTTTGCTACCTGCTTGAGCCTCTTGTTTATCAGCCCGGCTCACCTCCTCCTGCTCCAGCTGGAAAGCGCGCTGGAAATTGTAAACGGTAGCCGAATTTGGCACGATGCTTCTCTTCAGCTTAGATCCGCATACCACAATCCTGGAAGGAAGCAAAGCTCGGTGGGTCCTGTTCTCACCTCCGCTCCGTGCCTCCCCACGTTGCCCCAGGAGAGGCACCACCGGAGCTGTGGGCCACGTCCCCGGTGGTGGTCACCTGTCATAGGCGCAGTCCGACTTCCCCACGGTCGTGTCAGCGCTGTCGGGGAGCA